AAAAATTACATCTTTGGTGTCAGTGGAAGGAATAGTGCCCCATGATTGCTATGAGTGGAAGGCATTGTGCCCATCATTGGTATCCGTTGAAGGAATTGTCTTCCATCATTGGTATCAGTGGAAGGAATTGTGTCCCAATTGGTATCAGTGGAAGGAATTGTGTCCCATCATTGTGTATCATTGGAGTTGGGAATAGTGTCCCATCATTGGTGTCAGGGGGGAGGAATAGTGCCTCATCTTTGGTGTCAGTGGAAGGAATTATGCCCCATCATTGGTGTCAGTGGGAAGAATAGTGCCTCAAGGTCCAGATAAAGGCAAGCAGAGGGCCACATCTGGCCTATGAGCCACAGTTTGGAGACCCCTGTTCTAGATGAAGTAGTAATGCAGATACCTTTTGGACAGCAGCATTGTCAGTCTGGAGAGAGGGTAGTGTTAGACAAGCATATTTAAATGGACTTGATTAACAAATGAAAGCTGAACTCAAGCTAACAGTTTATAAGCAGTTATAGCAAACCGTTTTTTTTTTTTTTGCATGTTGGGATAAAGGTTTTGCATAAATGAATAAAAGCTAACCGTTGTAACCCCTGTCAGTGGTAAATGGGTTGTGTCAACCCTGTAACTGCTACATAGACAATACAGCTTGTTCTCTTGAAAAGCAACAGACTTACTGGGAGGATCACCAGGTGAAAATAGTGGAATACAAAAAAAAAAAAAAAAAACTAATTCAGCCATGACATCTAAGAACTGGTGAGCTGCAATTTAATACATTTTGAGTTTAAAAGATCAATTTGATTACAGTAATTTTATTAATAGAAACATGAATACCTATGTACAATTTGTAATTGAGGCAGCCATATTTACGCTGCTTCCTGTTCTTTACACAGTAGTTGTGCTTTACTGCTCCTTCTCACTTTTAGAAAACCATACACTGCCTTAGGGACTCATTTGTTTTAATAGTTGAACTAGAGTCGAGAGACAGAGTAACTACACTGAGCCAGTGAGTTCTTCCTTCCATGGCTAATCTCCTTATTTTTAACTCCATAAAATATGGAAGAGCAAGTGAACTTATAAGGGACCACTGTGGGCATGTTTCTGTTTTCTTTGTGGGCATGTGGGTTAGCATTATCATAGCTGTGCATTTGCAGTCCTGCTTTTTTGTATATCATTCACTATACACTTATCAATGTGCTTTGAAAGGGGTTCTACCACAAAAAAATAGGTGTCCCTCTCACAAAGTAAAGGTGTCTGATGCTGATATACAGGAGAAGGGGTGCTGGCAAGGGGGTCTTTTATACCACCTATCCATGGAGGAGCAGGTAGATGGAACAAATGCCTCTTTTCTTGCGGACACCCCTTCCTGGCCACCAGGATTGCCAACGTCTATTATAGGCACGGGCAACTGTTGGGTGAATTTTGGAATATATCTACATGGCATGCATAGTACAGTAAAGCACATTTCCTGTTTAAAACAGATGTGGACAATCATGGATGAATGTTATTGGATTCTATTTTTCTATGACAAATCTTAAGCAGATCTCCTTTGAAAATGGGAGAAAACCACTGTGATCAATAAAGTGAATGTAAAAAATAATAATTTGGCACAAAAACAGGTGAATATTAGACAAATTGCCCGTTGAACCAATGATCAAAAGATATCTTTCCCTGCCACAGAAATGCAATAATATGGCACAGGGATAATTTGAATAATGGAAGCGGAATATTACAGTAATGCAAAATTACTGTTTTAACACTTTGTAAATGAAGGCTATAATACACATGGGCTATTTTTGTTAATGCAGACTTTAAAAATTCATAAATCTATGTCACTTTCTGGTATAGTAGGGATAGTTCTTCCCTACAAAGTGCCTTATTAAAGAGTGGCATGAAGAAAACCTTTCAGGGATTCCATGTGGAGATTGGTAGACAACATTTGGGAGATATTGCAGCTTCATGAAAAAGTTCTCTGGTCTGATGAGACCAAAATGTGTGATTTTTTTTTTTTCTTCACTTATAAGATGAGGTGATTGGTTGTGTATACAATCAGCTTGTACAAATGGTCCATGTGGAAATATGTGTTTACAATAGGGTCACAGTAGATAACATAGGGGCACTCCTAAAGATGGGAAGTAAAGTGTCTTAAAGTCCAACTCTATTTTCGCCGGTTCAGCATACCTTGATAAATGGATAGTGTCCAGAGTCTTAAGGTGCGTCTTTGTGCCTGCAGCACCCATGTATGTTTGCGCTGTGAGGCTTAGAACTGTACACATTATTTCTCTTTCCGTTACCTTTTTGGCACCCTGCATCACTCGGTCCCTTTTCTCTCTCCACTCAGGGGTAAGATCAAGGCACTGACCCCACAAGCTGTGGGTAGGTTGAAGAGCTTAGGTGTCCACAACCCGCCTAGTAACACTCACAGCATATGAATGACATCAGTCTATGATATGCCACTTGGTACTGTTTGTGAGCAAATTGTGGCATATAACTCATGCAGTGCCCACACCCAGTACCTCTGATCATCCCCATCAGCAGTGGATCTTTAGACATGTAGTGCCAAAGAAATTTTTAAATCCCTAGTATTTAAGGAGTGTGTGCTACTACTCTTCTCCTGCAGCCTGAAATGATGAGAACCTCTGTGATGGTCACAGGACCAGTAAATACCTTTTTTTTTTTTTTTTTTTTTTTTTTTTTTTTTTTTTATTTTAACCTGTAAAAGTTTATGTAAAAGTGAACGGTTTCCACGGGATCTACTGCAATTTTTCTTTTAGGGATGTTTGGTCTAAATTTTGAAATATTTTTCTGACCTAAGTATTTATTTGGTCTTTGCACAAAATTCTACATGTAGAACACCTTCTCCACAGTAAACATGGCAGTGGTGACACCAGGTTGTGGTAATGCTTTCAGTGAGCAGGGGCATGGAAACACCAGAATTAAGATGTTGAGCCGGATACTGTACATGGCTGGTGTAAAGGAAAATCTGTTGCAGTCTTCCAGGGACCTGAGCTGGGGTGGACCTTCTAGTAGGACAGTAAGACTAAACACACAGTCAAACATAGAGTGGTTGAAAATGAAGACCGTCAATGTTCTAGCAAAACCCAGACCTCAACCAAACAGAGTCCTGGGCTAGGCATGACAAATGTGCTATCCTGAAGAGCTGGGAGAGACTTACCCGAAGGACTTGCAGCCAAAGCTGGTCCTACCAAGATAATTCTTTTACAACCAACAGATGTCTTTGTTTTGATTAACTTTTGCATCACAGTAAAAATTTTGCTGCATTTTCAAATGGTAAAATACCAATTACGCCTGTTTTGATTCTAGCATATAAGTTAAAACAAATGTGGAAATGCCATAGTGGTGGTGGATGCTTGCACAAAGCTCTGTATATTAAAATCAACTCAGAGTTGTGATAAGCTTTATAGCTGCTTCAATATCCAAGCATGACTCATGCTAGGATTGTATTTTAGAAGAAAAAAATTGCTATAGTTATTTGCTTGGAGAAAGAAGTCTGAGTGATGGCATATTTGCAGGAGAAAACTATTGCAGCAGCTGGATGATGTGATCCTAATTTAGTCTGTAGAATAGTAGTTGTATAGCCATGAATGACTCTGGTGCAGAATGCAATAATAGCTCCATCTGTGGAGATGTTTTATTGAGGGTAATGCATCTTGCTAGGGAATAGGAACTATGAGATGTTTCTGTATATGTCTGTATGACACCGTTATTATTATATAAGGTTTTTGAATGTAGTATCCTTGTTTGTTTCTTGAGTATTAAAGAGGACCTTCAGTTTAATCTTTTTTCTTATGTCTTGTGGGGAGAGAAGAAGACAAACTGTAGGTACAGCAATATTATACTAACCTTTTTGATAATCTGCTATGTAGATTTAGTATCCTCAAATTCCTCCCATTAGTCTCTTCTCTGTGTTCCATTCCCCCATTTAAATTTTCCACTATTTTCGATATGCAGAAGTGCCAGTTGTGATGGATACTTCCTGAGAATACCTTGGCTTTAGATCAGTCGGCAATTTGCTAACCAGAGGAGTGCATAGTACCTGCCACCACCTGAAGCAAGAGTGTGAACAGATGAGGCTTAAGGACTGTGTGGTCTCTTGCTGGGTACAAGTCTCTATAATGTTCCATTTCATCTCCACTCTAGTGATGTTGGTACATTGAGAGTAGCATGAGGCTGACTTTCACATGTATTCCCACTTTCAGACAGAGGGGAGCATGAATTGATTGAATGGTGCAATAATACATGGTGCACTAGATTTAGTTTAGCAAATTTATAACTGAATCTCTTTTTGTGCCCAAAGCCTGCAATTACCAAAATTTAAATGATTACATTAATGTGAATCTGTGGTCAGGCTATTGACATTCAAATATTAAACAAGCTTTAAAAAAAAAAAAAAAAAAAAATCCCTCACTGAACTCTGTAGTTGCAGACACTGTTACCTCAACAGCTCACTCTGATCCCCTTCCCACAGCATCTGCTGTGTGTTTGCATTAGCTACAGTATTAGAGGGCTGGAAGGCTGCAAAGGCACTGCTGGGAGGGGGATCCAGGTGAGTTCAATTGCTGGATGAACAGCTTGAAGGAGGGTGAATTTCACTACAGTGCCTACAGCTACAGAGGTCAGTGAGAGCATGTTTTAAAGCTTATTTACTGCTTATGAAAAATGTGTTAATATTTTAATGTCCATAGCCTGGTCACAGATTCACTTTCAGGTGGAAGGCATCTTTGATTCCAGTCTGTGGGATCAATGTGTCTCAGTTAGGCTGTCTGCACATGACAGTATTGTTTATAGTCTCAACTGCTCCAAAATGATAAAAGGTTAAACTTTATTGGTTCCCATTGATTACAGCAAACTGCTCTTGGCACCTTCTCTCTTTGTACTGTCCTAATAAATAAATCCACTAGGCCACTGACTTGTTGCATGCGTATCTGTATGTACTATGTACTTCAGTATTGTATTCACTGTTTGTCTTATCTTGTATTTCAATGCAG